TGCACTATGACAACCCATCTACTATTTTCACCATTCAGGTATTCATCTTAAAGCCTGGATGGATGAGAAATAGATAATGGGATAAATGAACAATTTCTCTTTTAGATCATATATAGACAGAGGTAAATTAGGGCCTTCAATACCTCAACTAAGGGAGTATGTTAAATGTTAGTCTCAGAACTGGCTGGGAAGAAATAGGTTGAACAGGAAAGAGGTGACGAAGCCTTTCTTGTCACTCCTAAAATGACTGCATATGGATGGTTCTGAACAGAATTACTAATTAACCAGATCTTATATTTCAGAAACACCCTCTTGATGATAAGCAGGGGAAGCCTTTCTGAAACTTTACTTTGGGACCCTAGAATTTAGTTATAATATGGTAGACCTTTTTTCTGGGAGGAAAGTGCAAGAACCTGTCTGAAGAAACCTAAATTACCTTCGCTTTCCCTTAAATGAGATGTCTGTTTCATACAGCAGTCCACCTGGGTAGCTGCATTTTCACCTGCCCTGCTTTTATCAGGAGTCATGTTTTCCCTATCACCATGGTCCCCAGTGTTTCAGCTCTCTGAGAATATACAGTGGTTTTCTATCTGCATTTAATTCTCCTAGCTGAGGCGCATAGAGTAAGAGCGATTTATTTCAGTTCTCTGTCCTTACAGATCCAATTTAGTAAACATCTAATAAGCAATGATTAATGTGAAGAATTCCAGTGGAAGCTGTAGAGCAGGCGTCCCCAAACTACAGCCCACGGGCCCCTGAGGCCATTTATCTGGCCCCCCGCCGCACTTCAGGAAGGGGCACCTCTTTCATTGGTGGTCAGTGAGAGGAGCACAGTATGTGGCGGCCCTCCAATGGTCTGAGGGACAGTGAACTGGCCTCCTGTGTAAAAAGTTTGGGGACACCTGCTGTAGAGCATGGAGAAAAAGAGTAACATCACCTTTCCCTACTGGAGTCCCAGTGGAAAAGACAGAAACATGGAAGTATTTATTGATTGATTGATTGATACTAGGGCTCACTCTGTTGCCAGGCTAGAGTGCAGTGGCATCATCTTGGCTCAACGCAACCACCACCTCTTGGGTTGAAGAGATTCTCCTGCCTCAGCCTCCTCAGTAGCTGGGACTATCGGCATGCACCACCACACCCAGCTAATTTTTGTATTTTTTGTAGAGATGGGGTTTCACCGTGTTGGCCAGGATGGTCTTGATCTCTTGACCTCCTGATCTACTCACCTCCCGAAGTGCTGGGATTACAGGCACGAGCCACCACACCTGGCCAGATGGAAGTATTTCTAAAGCAGAGATTATTAATCTTGACTACATATCAGGATCACCTGGGGAACTTTGAAACATCTGATACCCAGGCTGCACTCCAGAGCAATTAAGTTAATTGAAGGGTTCAATTAACTTAATTAATTGAGCTGGAACCCAGGCATCAATATTTTTTAAAGCTCCCTGGGAGACTCGAATGTACTGTATTGCTAACCTAGAGCAAAATAAACTTGGAAAATGCTGTATGAACAAGGGTACTGCAACCATTCTGGATATGCTAATGTTCTTATCCACTGTCTGACCGCATTTCTGCCCATGAATGCAGAAAATATAGCCTCTCATTGTAACCATGGGAAACATTGAGGTCAGTTTGATTGTAGGGCATTTAGAAACTATGTACTCTGGGAGGTACGGTCTGAAGGAAACTATGTTTCTGAGGGGAAAGGGCCCCAAAAAGATCAACCCGAAAAATGACCCCAAAATTCAATCTACATGGAAACATTCCCCTGGAATGTTTTATTCACTTGTCTTTCTGAAGAAGTCCTATTCATCCTCTAGGCTCCCAGCTCAAACTTTGTCTCTTTTGTGAAACCTTTCCTTTTCTTTCCCTTACCCAGGCCAAACTGGGTCCCTATTTTTCTCTTACTTAGTGTCTCTTACCTGGTTTCTTGATTTACGGAATGAATAAACAGAACTGCAGCAGTTTTAGGTGGAGTGAGAAGTCGTGCCACCAGCAGAGGAAACCTAGACTCAGGAATGCCTCGGGCTCCCTTGTCCTGTTTCGGAGCATTGGGATCCTCTGCTTCCAAGTAGTCCGGCTGGGGAAATGGGCAGACAGACTCATGGGTGTAAAGCAACTGGAGGAAGAGCTGGAAGGGGGCTTCCCCGGGCTTTAGTTAAAGCAGTGAGCTTGAGCTTCATTTGCAGATTTTTGTCGTTAGAGGAAGAAAGAAACAGAAGGAAGTTCACGGGTTTTCAATTATGTCCATAACTAAGGAAAAGTGCCTGTGTGACTCCTGTTTTATTCAGGCCACAGGCATCCCAGAAAAGGTAGAACAGTTTACTGTCTGGGGAAATTGTCTGCTTTAGTTTATTTTTAAACTTTAAGTCTTAAAAACAAAAGGTTTTTAAAATTTTTCATAGCTTTTGCACATGTGAAGGTGAAAAGATGACTTCAATCTTGTATGTATGAAGGTCATGCAGTCCAGATTTTTTAGAACACTGCTAATTTTAGATCTTATATCCTGATTTCTTACACAGAAAGTATGGTTGCTATTCTTACAATTGGCTATCGTTTTTCCAGCATGCTTAAAGATATTTTAGTAATCAAAAAGTTTAATTATTTCAGGTTTCTGTGTGGTAGCAAAAAAAAAAAATTTTTTTTTAATTTTTTTTAAATTTTAATTATCTTACTTAAGCTCCCTTAAGTAAGGTTGCCTCATGGACAAAAAAGCCTAAAGATAATACAGAACAGGCATTGAGTATATTGTCTGGAGCACCAGACTTGTATTGAATGTAGCTTTTTGGTGAAGATGATATATATTAACGTTTCTTTCTCTACCACAAATTAGTATAAAAATCCTTCAAAGAAAAAATGAGGGCCCAGCGCGGTTGCTCATGCCTGTAATCCCAGCACTTTGGGAGGACAAGTTGGGCAAATCACTTGAGGTCAGGAGTTTGAGACCAGCCTGGGCAAAATGGTGAAACCCTACCTCTACTAAAAATACAAAAATTAACCAGGCATGGTGGCGCACACTTATAATCCTACCTACTCAGGAGGCTGAGACACAAGAATCTCTTGAACCTGGGAGGTGGAAGTTACACTGATCCGAGATCATGCCACTGCACTGTAGCCTGGGCGACAGATCGAGATTGTGTCTCAAAAAAAAAAAAAAAGAAGAAGAAAATAAAAAGAAAAAATGAGTCATTAAGAACTGTTCTTTTATTATGAACTATTCTTTTTTTCTTGAAATGGAGTCTAGCTCTGTAGCCCAGACTGGGGTGCGGTGGCGTGATCTCAGCTCACTGCAACCTCTACCTCCCAGGTTCAAGTGATTCTCTTGCCTCAGCCTCCCCAGTAGCTGGAATTACAGGCGCCCACCACCACGCCCAGCTAATTTTTGTATTTTTAGTAGAGATGGGCTTTCACTGTGTTGGCCAGGCTGGTCTCAAATTGCTGACCTTGTGATCCACCCGCCTCAGCCTACCAAAGTGCTGGGATTACAAGCGTTAGCCACCGCGCCCAGCCATGAACTAGTCTTTACTCCTGACTGTCACTTGAGAAATGTTCCTTTGTGAGGTGCAAACACAGGAGCCCACCAAGAGAGAAATAGTAACTACTAGAAAAGCCTGCTGCTGGAGCCACACACCCTTTTGCCACAGGCTAGATGGAATCTTAGCAAAATGGCAGCTGTAACCCCACATGGGCTTTTACTTTTAGTGGGCAAATTTTTCTAAATATTAATTTTTATCCTTATATCTTACTTTAATAACCATAATTGTTATGGTTATTATGGATTAAATTGCTACTGTTTCTCTTTTTGTTTCCTGGATTCCAATCAAATTAATCCTTCGTAATCTGTGAGCAAAATCATCTCAGTTTTAATTGAATGACCCACAACTATTTAATCTTTTTGCCTATTTAAAAAGTGTAACATTTTTTCCTCACTGAATAATACAAAAAGTATAAAATAAAGGCTAAACTTTAAAATATTCTTTTATATCTGAGAACGATAAGCTTTGAAAAAGTGCTTAATAATTTTAACACTTACTTTTTTTTTAGAGATAGGGTCTTGTTATGTTGCCCAGCCTGGATTCAAACTTCTCAAACTAAGTATCCTCCTGCTTCAGCCTTCTGAATAGCTGGGACTTACAGGCGTGCACCACTGTGCTTAGCTAACAGTTACATTTTTTGTTTGTTTGTTTTTAATCACTTCTCTGCCATAAGGTCTCTTGTAATCTAGTTATATTTCTTAGAGGACATCTTGTATGTTCTTCAGTCAGTATATTATTTTATGAAACAATAACAACAGAATAGCATCAAACTGTATGTCACTGGTAGGTGGCAAGCTATTAGTGATGTAATTATCTTGTGGAAAAAGCAAGCTATTTCAGATGTCATTAAATTAGGAGCTGTTTCTGGCTCATGCATCAGCGTTGATTGCTCCATGTGTTACCATATTCTTCTGTAATGGAGAATCTACACTAAGTAAGGACAGCACTCTTCCCAATAGCTAGCCAGTCTACAGTCACAGACTGCTGTTAGCTATGTCCATAGTCAAAATCTGTGTGTTTCCATCTGCCCACGTTGTCCTCTCTTGCAGCCTCATGACACTGAGGAACTTCTCACATACTTGCCCAGAATTCCAGCAGATCTTCAGTTGGTGGTAACACCCTTACCATGAGCCAGATCTGAGCTCCCTAACCCTCTGTGATCCCTGATGAGTGAAGGGAACAAGGATATGTGTATGAGTGGGGCTTGGTATGGCTAAGGGTCAAGAGAAGGTGAGACCAGAGGGAGCCTGGGCTGGGATCTACTGAAACAGCTCCTAAAATGAAAACAAAATGGGGGCCAGAACTTTTTCTGGATAGTAGTTATGTTTTCCTGCCAAGGCACAAGTCGTCCTCATAGACAAATGACAACCATTCTACATGTCAAATAAGATCGTTAGCCTTAGTAAACATAACCAATCTGTAGGACACTATTTTAACATTCTTCTTTTCCCCATCCAGAATTAAGAGAAAAAAAGTGAATATGGTTTTTGCTCCCAGAATGGATAACAGCAAGCCACCTTTGGTTATTTCTACACTTCTGGTGCCCCTCCAAAACCGCAGCTGCACTGAAACAGCCACACCTCTGCCAAGCCAGTACCTGATGGGATTAAGCGAGGAGCACAGCTGGATGAGCAACCGAACAGACCTTCACCATGGACTGAAACCTGGAGAAGTGGCCACAGCCAGCATCTTCTTTGGGACTCTGTGGTTGTTTTCTATCTTTGGCAATTCCCTGGTTTGTTTGGTCATCCATAGGAGTAGGAGGACTCAGTCTACCACCAACTACTTTGTGGTCTCCATGGCATGTGCTGACCTTCTCATCAGCGTTGCCAGCATGCCTTTCGTCCTGCTCCAGTTCACCACTGGAAGGTGGACGCTTGGTAGTGCCATGTGCAAGGTTGTGCGATATTTTCAGTATCTCACTCCAGGTGTCCAGATCTATGTTCTCCTCTCCATCTGCATAGACCGGTTCTACACCATCGTCTATCCTCTGAGCTTCAAGGTGTCCAGAGAAAAAGCCAAGAAAATGATCGCAGCATCGTGGATCTTTGATGCAGCCTTTGTGACCCCTGTGCTCTTTTTCTATGGCTCCAGCTGGGACAGCCATTGTAACTACTTCCTCCCTTCCTCTTGGGAAGGTACTGCCTATACTGTCATCCACTTCTTGGTGGCCTTTGTGATTCCATCTGCCCTCATAATTTTATTTTATCAAAAGGTCATAAAATATATTTGGAGAATAGGCACAGATGGCCGAACAGTGAGGAGGACAATGAACATCGTCCCACGGACAAAAGTGAAAACCATCAAGATGTTCCTCATTTTAAATCTGTTGTTTTTGCTCTCCTGGCTGCCTTTTCACGTGGCTCAGCTATGGCACCCCCATGAACAAGACTATAAGAAAAGTTCCCTTGTCTTCACAGCGATCACATGGATATCCTTTAGTTCTTCAGCCTCTAAACCTACTCTGTATTCCATTTATAATGCCAATTTTAGGAGAGGGATGAAAGAGACTTTTTGCATGTCCTCTATGAAATGTTACCGAAGCAATGCCTATACTATCACAACCAGTTCAAGGATGGCCAAAAAAAACTACGTTGGCATTTCAGAAATCCCTTCCATGGCCAAAACTATTACCAAAGACTCAATCTATGAGTCATTTGACAGAGAAGCCAAGGAAAAAAAGCTTGCTTGGCCCATTAACTCAAATCCACCAAATACTTTTGTCTAATTTCTCAGAATTCTTTCAGTTGTTATGCGCCAGAGATTAAAAAGCTTTAACTATAAAAACAGAAGCTATTTACGTATTTGTTTTCCTCAACTTTCCAAGGGAAATGGTTTATTTTGCAAAATGCATTCGTTTATTATAGTTTTCGTGGGTTTTATTTTACTTGCTTCATGTTTTAGAAAAAGTGTTTGCTTTGAACTATAGTCAACAGTTATTTTACTATTAATATATTAGTTACACACATAAAAAAGAAAATGCTTTCTTACCACTTACTTACTGTTAGGTTCAAAAACATAAACCTAAGCCATAAACACAGTCTTTGATTAATGGATTCAATCTAGTTTTTTGGTTTTTGGTTTTGCCTTTTGTTCTTTTTGAGGCAGTCTCACTTTGTCACTCAGGCTAGAGTGCAGTGGCATGTTCGGCTCACTGCAACCTCTACCTCCTGGGTTCAAGCGTTTCCCCTGCCTCAGCTTCCTGAGTAGCTGGGTTTATAGGCACGAGCCACCACATGGCTAATTTTTGTATTTTTAGTAGAGACAGGGTTTCACCATGTTGATCAGGTTGGTCTCGAACTCCTGACCTCATGATCTGCCCGCCTCAGCCTCTCGAAGTACTGGGATTACAGGTGTGAGCCACCGCGCCCAGCCTATTTTGTTTTCTTTTTCTCCTTATTGAATTTTTGTAACTAGGGCTTCAGTTCCAAATGAAATCCCCATGTTACCTATCTTGGAGATGTCTATTTCCTTCACTGAGCAACATTTACTATGAGTTTAATATTGTATAGGTTGTCATGTTACCTTCCTCCAAGTAACCACTAGCCAGATCTGCTATGGAAAGCATGCCATATACTGGAACTTGCTGGGAAGTCTTCTGTGGTTGGATTTTAATCAGAATTTTTAGGGGAAAAAAAGCATACAGAGTTGCCTAATTTCTCTTGCTCTTTCTCTTGTTTTTATCCTTCCTTCATCTGAGTGGCTGATGAAGCCTTGAAAAATGCAGTCAATGCAATGTTTTCCTCACATTTGTGTCCCATCTAGGCTGTGTCTAGAACATTTACCTCCCATTTTTGAGTTATATACAAGAAAATGAGCAGGTGCTGTTGCTAGCATGTCTAAAAAATGCCAAAGACAGAAATGACAGATGGCATTTTCTGTACTCTGCAATTCAAGCAGAGACTTTCAGCTGCCCAGCCCTCTCCTATACAGCAGGACAGCAAGGGTAGGGACTGCCTTCCTCTTTCTCCCAGAAACTCACGAGGCCATTTCCCTGGCCACAGCCTGTTTTCCCTCATCTCTCCTCTCCAGGGCACATAACCTGGCCAAGCTGAAACTCTTCTTTGCCTGTGATAACTAGGGATTTTTTTTTCCTCTGGTTCCCAGATCTCCATTATTTCAAATCGATGACCAGCCAGCACATTTAAAAAATGTTTTTATTTAAACAATAAAGGGTTTACAGACAAGACTGGTATGCATTTTCATGCCCTAGTTAACAAGAGCTACAAATAATAACTCCAGTTGTTCAGCAATTTTACATGCATTATCTCCTTTATCCTCTCAACAATTCTGTGATGTATTTATTACCATCCCTTTTATAAATGAGCAAACTGGGACTCAAAAGTTATGTGACCTGCCCAAGTTGGAATGTGACAGAGCTGGTATTCAAACTCGGGGCCTCTAACCGCACGTCTGTCTGTCACTCTTTCCTTGACATTTCAATGTCTCCCTAGAGAACACGAGGGGCCAAACCCATCCAGGCCTTGAAGGGCCTCCTGACCACGGCCGTGGTGGAAGTCAAAGTTCTAAGACAATCTGGCCATTCTTTTTCCTTTTTTATTTTTTGAGATGGAGTCTCACTTTCTTTCCCAGGCTAGAGTGCAACGGCGTGATCTTGGCTCTCTGCAATCTCTGCCTCCTGAGTTCAATTGTTTCTCCTGCCTCAGCCTCCTGAGTAGCTGAAATTATAGGCACCTGCCACGACACCAAGCTAATCCAAAGTGCTGGGATTACAGGGGTGAGACTTTTTTATTTTCAATTTTTAAAAATCAGCAGAATTTAAGATGCACTGGTGTTTCTTAAAAAGAGTCTATGTGGTTCCTGCTGACAAGTGGTGGTTTAAAAAAAAAAAAAGTGTCTAGGTGAAATGTAATGAGCTGGCCCTCACCTGTTCCTTGGCTATAGATAGGTTCTTGGGCTAGTGCTGCAGAATGTTTGAGATAAGGAGGGAAACCTGTATTTTCTCACGCTTCAGACACGGGGGAATGAGACAAAATTACATTTGATATTTGGGGCAAAGAATCACAAAACATTTAATCTACAAAACATTTACAGAGCTGATGTTTTTAAATTGAGATGTGTTCTTCAATCACAAATTCCAAAGACAGAAATAATCTATTTTTCTTTCTCCCTTTCCCCTTCTCCTCACATTCTTATCTCATCAGCAAATGGCTCTAAAATAACAAAATGTGCCAGATATTTACCTCACTTAGCCCTTGAATTTTATGGTTCAGACTTGAAGAGACTCTGCCTTAGTTTTATTGTCGTTTTAAATATGACTTTTTAGAATTAGAGTGTGAAAAGTTTAATTTGTTTCCAATTTGGTTTTTATATATTTATAGATCTCACTAGGTGATTTCTAAGTTCCATTCTGTCTTTAATGTTCTGGGAGTTTACTATATTAGGTGGATATTCGGTGAGACAACCTCATACAAGCTCTTGTGTAGAGAGATTGTCTTTTTGTTTTTCTTTCTGAGACAATTTCTCTCCGTCACTCAAGCTGGGGTGCAGTGGCACAATCTCAGCTCAGTGCAACCTCCGTCTCCCAGGTTCAAGTGATTCTCGTGCCATAGCCTCCTAAGTAGCTGGGACTGCAGGTCCACACCTGGCTAATTTTTGTATTTTTATTAGAGACAGCGTTTGGCCATGTCGGCCAAGCTGGTCTTGAACTCCTGGCTCAAGTGATCCATCCACCTTGGCCTCCCAAAGTGCTGGGATTACAAGTGTGAGCCACCGTGCAGGCCAGAAAGTATTTTTAATCCCCCAAATAATGAAAAATTAAGAGTAGTAAGTCACAATAGAGCTCCAAAGTCGAATGACCTGTATTACCTGCATTCAGCTATGTTCTCTCAGCGAGTTGGGAATTCACTGCTTTTTTGTTTAGCTTAATATTCAGCATTCCTGGCGTCTCTCTTGATCCTGAATTTGGAGGAGGCTTCACATAATGCACAGATCGAAGAAAATTTGCTTAAGTCCCACAACACGAGAACAAAATTCAGCACACCTCACATTTACTCCACAAGAACCAGAATTAAGCCACAGGGAGACAGGCTATTGGAGAGAATAAGCAAATGACTCTACCAGGTGCACAATGAGGTGCACCCCAAATCCGGATTCATGTGGCCTCCAAACAGGAGTCCAAGAAAGGCAACAGGGGGAAGCAACCTCCACAGTGGAGGCAGTTCTCCTACCTGGTGCCAGGCTCTCATAAACCGTCAGTGGGGAGGGAAGGGACAGGGATTCATCCTTTGAGGGGAATTTGAATTCTCCCTTCTCAGCTTCATTGAATGCATTAATGCCCAGCCTACTGATGAGTCAAAAAGCACATCCAGCTGAGATGCATTTGCCTATGAGTCTTTCTTCACAAGCTTAGCCCCCCTGGCCAAAGCTGATACCTTAGGCCAGACTTCTACCTCAGGAAGGACAACTTTATCCTTGGTGGAGGCCCATCTCCGCCAAGCATGTAGGGAGTAGAGTCATTTGCCAGAGACTGCTGGCAATTTCACCTCTCCACGTGGGCACAGCCCCTCTTCCACTCTTCCATCCTTGCTGCCATTTGCACAAGCTCACTTTGAAACCACATAACCAAGCTCAGCTGGGGAGACCTGACCAGGATCCGCCTCTAGGTTATGCTCCTCTAAAAACCATATGTAAAAGAAGCAAGGAATTAGACACTTTTAGAGCAGAAGGGATGTTGGGAGACCTAGCCCAACCCCTTCATTGGTTAGAAGTGGAAGTTAAGGCCAAGAGACATGAAGTTAGGGCTAACCGACAATGTCTCCTACCTACCAGTTCAACTTTATTTCAGCTTTGCCATTTGGCTTGCCGTGGCATGATTCATTTATTTTTTTTAATACTACATTAATTTTATTTATTACTCAGCACTTTGGGAGACCAGGCAGGCAAATCGCTTGAGCCCAGGAATTTGAGACCAGCCTGGGCAGCATAGTGAGACCCCTCATCTCTACAATTAGTCAGGTATGGTGTGTGTGCCTGTAGTCCCAGCTACCCGGGAGACTGAAGTTGCAGCTCAGATCCGCTCCCGCTGTCATCTTGGCTTACTGCAACCTCTGCCTCCCAGATTCAAGCGATTCTTCTGCCTCAGCCTCCGGAGTAGCTGGGATTATAGGCCCGGTGCCACCACGCCCTGCTAATTTTTTTGGATTTTTAGTAGAGACGGGGTTTCATCATGTTGGCCAGGCTGGATGTATTATTAGATTTTTAAAAATCCAAATTGTGTGCAGGAGAATATGAAAAGAATACATAAGTCTTCACTGTTCATTTAACCTGCTAATTCATCTGTGAAAGTGATGACCTTGGAGTGCCTTAATTAGAGAACAATGGAAACAAACCGACTTCCTCTAGCAGTTTTCCAGAGTGACCGCTTGATGGCACTGTGACTTGTGGGCAGAGCCCACCACCTCTTCAAGATGCCTGTCACACTGGTGAATTCAGGAAAGTCCTCGTCTCATAGCAACAAGACAGGGAAAATTGCTGAGCACCCAGAAGCAGCTGTAGATTAAGTAATCAATCAGTGTGTTCAAAACACAAAGCATCTAAACATTGGAGGAAATTCCAAAATAATACCCTTTTCAGACATGAAATCACTAGTCAAAATATTGTTTTAAACCCATTTTACAAATGTGATCATTTTCCAAAAACTCCATCAGACCACCAAACTGGCATTAGTGCCACCCACACTTGCCAGGGCCTGTCTTTTCCTTTTCCGCTCTTTTCATCATTGACTCAGAGAATTCATGGACTTTTTCATAGCAATGTATCTAGAGTTTCTCTACAAGTGAATGCTCATATGCTGCTCATAAGCAGGCAGTTAAATTTATTTTAAAGTGAGCCTCTACAATCTGCACCATTCTGAAGTTTTTGCACAATTGAACACTTCTAGAACTCTCAAGAACTCTATATTTTCTTTCTCAGAAGAAGCCTCTTTTATATATGTAATTTTTATTTTTCAGTAGAGACAGGGTCTTGCTTTGCCACCCAGGGTAGTCTTGAACTCCTGGCCTCAATGATCCTCCTGCC